CTGCCTGGGTCTACCTGGGCCTCTGCTAGCTGCGTGAGTGTGAGCAGGTTTCTTAGCCTTCACTGGCATAGACACTGAGTGAGGATGATGGTAATAACAGCACCACATTGTAAGATAATTAAAAGTTAATAAGGGTAGTGCAGTTAGATGGTGTCTGGCATGCAGTCAGCAAATGCCATTAGAAGGAGTTTGGTTTCCAAAAAATAAAGCAGCAGCAAGGTGAAGATGAGAGAGGATGGAGAGGTAGCCTGGAACAGGAGGGATGGGGCTGGTGGAAGTGCACGGTAGGCATGCTCAGCTCCTGGGACTGTTCCCACCTCCAGCAGGAAGCCCACCAGGCTTTCTTCTCACCTACCATCCAATAGACCCCCTCTGGTGTCTGGATTTGGCTTCTTTCCATAACCTAATTTCTTCCACTTCTTGATCATCTACTACATGCCTGCCCATCATCATAGTAGGTGTCCTACTTTGAGTCCCTCATTTAAACTTTATGTAAATTCAATGACTTGTTGCAGATGAGGGCACTGGGCTCAGAAAATTCGTCTAAAGACACAGATTGAGAAGTTGTAGAAGTAGGAATAGAACCGAGGTCCTCTTGATTGGAAAGCCCTTGTCCTCACTACAGTTTCTAGCCTACTCTCCTGTCCCTTCCACAGGGAGACAGCGGGGTGCTTTTGTGTCCAGCTTTTCTGTATTTCCTGCTGATCATGCAGATTTCTGATCGTGGCTTGACAAGTGCTTGGTCCTTTTTTTTTTTTTTTTTTTTGCTGTTTTGGAGGCTCCAGAGAAATGAACTTCATCCCTTATTTCCCATCCCTGGATACAAGGGATGAAAAGATACTTGGGAAAAGAATTAAAAGTTTCTCTACAGGGGCTGGGAAGGTGGCTCAGTGGTAGAGTGCTTGCCTTGCATGCCTGAGGCCCTGGGTTCGATTCCTCAGCACCACATAAGCAAAAAGAAAAAAGCTGGAAGTGGCACTGTGGCTCAAGTGGTAGAGGGCTAGCCTTGAGCTAAAGAGCTGAGGGACAGCGCCCAGGCCCAGAGTTAAGGCCCTGCAACTGGACCCCCCCCCCCAAAAAAAAGTTTCTCTACAATAACAAGTCAGAATAGCAAAACTAGTTGATGAGTCTTTACTGTGTACTGGGTGCTCTTCTGACCATTTTATGTTTAGTGAGGTAACTTACTCTTCAAAGTAGCCTTAGTCAATTTTTTTTCTGCGCTGATACTGTGGCTTGAACTCAAGGCTTGAGGCTGTGCCCTAGCTTTTTCACTAAAGGCTTGTGCTCCACCTCTTGAACCACTGCTCCACTTCCAGCTTTTTGGCAGTTAGTTGAAGATAAAAGCCTTATGGACTTTCTGCCCTGGCTGGCTTTAAACTGTGATTCTCAGATCTCAGCTTCCTGAGTAGCTAAGATTATAGACATGAGCCACCTGTGCCTGGCTGAGTCTAATTTTATAGACTGGAAAGCTTTCAAGTCCTAGAATTTGCCTAAGTTCACATCATGAGCAAAAGGTAGAGCCAAGCTTTGAACCCAGGAACTCTGACTCCAGAGTCTACTCCCTAGCCCACTGTACCATATACAGGCTCTTTGACAAACTGGATTCATATCATGGTCTGATGCACAGACCCAGGAACATCACCAAATCCAGTTTCCCAGTCTGTGAACCACCATACCTCTTGTTTGCAGCTTGCTCAGATCCTGCCTCATTGACAGACGGTGCCCTACATATCTCGTGGCACCTTGTTTTGCCTCTCACTGGAGTATTTCTTCCCTACCAGACTGCTCGATCCTTGAGAGCAGAACCTGGCTCTCAGCCATTCTGATGGCCGCAGCACCTGGCAAAGCACCTGGCATATAGAAAGTACCTAGCCAAGGGGTGTGGTTGTTGAACAAAGACATCCTGCCACAAATCCTTTTCTAAGTGAGGTGCTCTTTTATGATTATTTTTAACGGAGAATACTAACTCACTAGCGTAGCTTGGTGAGCATGGGGAATCCCCAGATGAGGGAGCTTAGGAACTCCAGGGGCCTTCCTGTTGTTTGCTGTGGCTAAGTGGAATTTCATATCAGGGTACTTGGAGAACACAGGTCTGTTAGGATCTCTCAACTATACATGTGTGTGTGCATGCACGCGCGCGCGTGCACACACACACACACACACACACACACACGATATGAGCCCTTTGATTCCTCTTTTTGCTTCACCTTCAGACTTCTGCCTTTGACCTTCCAACTCTTCAAAGGTATCACAAAGGATGATGGGCACTGAGAGCCATGTTATCTTTTTGACTTTCCCCAGTCAACTGCTTTTCTGGGACTTTTTTTTTTTCTTTCTAATACTGAGGTCCAGAAGGTAAAGATCACTATAGCTAAACCTGTTCACCTCAGGAAACATTTTACTATAGTTATCTTATTCACATTGCTTAGGGCTTTGAAATAGGGTAGAACAGAAGGGGAAACTGAGATGTAGGGCAAGCATGGAGTCTCCCCAGTCCTTTAGTCTCTGAAGAATGCAGATTGAGTGGCCTGGCCTTCGAGCATTTGCCTGTCACCAGAAGAGATCACCTGGAAAGAAGCCTTACACTTAAGCTTTGAAGGCTCTCAGACTCCGCCTGTACCCTACCCTGTGAATTCTTTCCCATCATCCCTGTCTTCCTGTTCCCGCTATCAGAGACCTGTAACCCCAAATCTCCCTCCACAGGCTCTATCCTAGTCCACATGTCACCTGCCACCAAATGGGCATAGTAAATCTCTCCCCTTCTTCATGCTGCCTACAGTCTAACATGGACAGGACCCTGGGCCCACCCTGTCTCCTCCAGTATCACCCAAGGCAAACAGTATAGACAGGAAAAATGGGTGAGATCTGTGAGTGCTGGAGAAAGAAGAGAAAGCAAAGAAGCCTTCCCCCGTGCTGCCTGTGGCTGAATCACTGGAATAGCTCACTGATGTCTTGGGGAGAGGGAAGGGGTCATTCTCCATTACTATAAATTTGGTCTGGTTCTCCCAGGCTCCACCTGGAACAGTGCGTGTCACTTCTAGTCATTTCCTACTTGTAGTCTCCAAGGGATTTTCAGTTGGGAAGAAGGAGCAAACTGGGCCTCAACTGTAATGGAGAGGGTGGGGGAGGCTCCTGTGACCCACCTTGGCAATGTCTTCCAACTTCTGAAAGAATAATGATCCAATAAAAGCACCGCATACATGTGCTCCATTAGCAAGGGGTCTGGAAGCTGCCTCCTCAGCATTCAGGCTCTCTGGGCTGGACAGCTGTCTCGCCCTGCCTAGAAGAACCGGGAAACCAAGCCAAGAGAACTCAGGCCTGTGCCTGCATTGCTGAGAGCTGGAGAGCTGAAGGATGGAGTCAGAGAGTTGAGTTCTGGTGGGGGTCAGGGGTCTTGTTGAGTGGGGAAGCAAGTGGCCCCCACGACAGACTCAGACTAAGGCAAGATGCAGTTCTGGAATTCTCCCATGGATGTAGTTTCCAGAGGAGTGGTCTGAGGACCTAATTGGCCTTGGTCTGTGCTCTGGGTTTGGTGGAGATGGGGGTTAAGGACAGAAGCAGAAGAGAGCAATGTGGCATCTTGCCAGTGAGGGGATTGAAACCAGGAATGCCACAGTCTTGGCATGAATGGCATAGGTCATTGGTTTAAAGCCCTTCTTGTGATAGCCAGCTGGTAGCACAGCTGCTCAGAGCCCAGCCCATGAGCTGGACTGGTCTTGGTTGTGCTTCTGGTGGTACGGTGTGATCACAGATCACTGAGCCAACTGCTGAGGATGACTGAGTAGAAGGAGGGCAACAGGGAAACATATCTGACTGCAGACCCTCAGCCTAGAGCAGAGTGTTCTCTTCCTGTTTCAAAGACTTCTAGTCTCAACCTGTCTGCAGTCTAGATATGATTCTGCCCTCATTGTGCAGACTGAGCATGGAGAGATTAAATCATTTCCCGAATTCAAGTAGTACCTGCTAGGCCTCGAGGGAGGTTCTGTGGTGATGGCCCCCTCTGTCCCTCTAGTGGGGCTGTCTATGGGAGGGTATGGGTAGGCTGAAGGTGGCTCAGTCTGAGGACTGCTGGATGGACAGGCAGCACATGAAATAGACGGGGATGAAGTAGAGGTCAGGCCGGCCTTGGGTGTGGTCGGTCCTCTGGGTCCAGGCAATGGAAACCCCTGGAGGGGCAGAGGTGAGCTGGTTGTGCATCCTGCATGCACATGGATGCCCCATCCTTCTTTGCCAGAGGAAGTGGGGCATGCCTGAACTCATCTACTTATGGTATTGAGCCATTAAAATATGAGTTAGAGGAAAGGAAACGAAGGTCATGGTGTCTCCTTTCTGGAGAAACTGTTAGTAGAACACGTATGAACCTAGACTTTTGGAGACATTTCGAGCTCTGGTTCATTGTGGAAATCTAGCAATGATCAAGACTATGTTGCCTTCTTAAAATTTAGCCTGTAACTGGTCCCAGACCACCGAGTGGAAGGCCAGAGGAAGGTCAGCAAAGCCATCCACAAGCTGGCCCTGTTGCTGACAGTTTCTTCCACAACACGAAAGGGCATCCCAGCGCTGCAGGAAGGCTGACTCCACTGTCCTTGAACTTTCCAAAACACAGTTCACACTATGAGAGGAAACGTGGAGATTTTCATTGATGGAAACCCCTCTCCCTCCTCTTCCCCCCCACATCTCTCTCTCTCTCTCTCTCTCTCTCTCTCTCTCTTTTGGCCTGGGCTGGTTTTGAACTGAGCCTCCTGAGTAGCTAGGATTATAGTACCTGGCTAAAGAACTAGAAGGTAAAGGGATTTACCCAATGGGGCAAGAAACCAGAAGTCCAGGCAGGATGTGCACCCAGCCATCATGGTGTCTAGGTGGGCATTCCTGCCTCCCGTGAGCCCCAGCATTATTGCAATACACCTGCAAACTAACAAAGGCAACCTAGCACAATGCGTGATGGTCTCCTCCTCACCCCTCTCTCTGCAGGACGCTGATCTGCACACACCTCTCTGACCATGAATGGGATGGCCAACGTGAATTCCGCCAGCCGCCCCCACTATGCCTCCTCCATCCCCGTGCCCCGAGCCTCTTCCCAGACCAGGATTCATACCCCAGGAGCCTCTCCTCAGCTGCCACCCCGCCAGGCTGGCCTGGCCCTCAGTCCTCACAGAGCAGCTTCTCCAAGGCTGGGCAAGGCTGCAGGCTCTTCCAGAAACTCCTCCCCCAAAGCCTCCCAGGGAAGAGGCTCCCCCAGAGTTGCTGCAGGACCAGTGAAGGAACTGACTGAGGATGGCAAAAGCCTCCCTAGCTCCCCCTGGAGCAGCCCCAAGGTCACCCCAAAAGCATCCCTGTCTAGCCATGCTGGGCCCCGAAGAACAGGGGAGACACCAGGCACCCAGAGAAAGAAGAAGACTCAGGAAGGAATCGTGATCCACCAGGCCCGGGGCCGGAGCCCACCTCCAACCAGTTCCCATGGAGAAACTCCAACACTGAGGGCTCCAGAGGGTCGAAGGCCTCCTGGCTGCCCAGGGAAAGATCCAAGAGACATAAACTACAAAAGCTCTGGAGTCTCTAGGTCTTCAGAAGCAGATGAAGGGGCAGCTTCAGAGTCTTCCTCTCCTGCGTGTAGCCCTGCACACAGCAAGTGGCCCTCCTCCACCCCCGGGGTCATCAACTTCTCCTCTGTCCATCAGCAAAGTCAGCCCGTCACTGCCACCGTGGCCCCCTTCCAGTACAGGTGAGCTGAGATTGCAGCAGACAAGAGGAGTGGGGGGAAGGGGTGGGACCAGGGGACAAGGCCACAGAGGAAAGGGGCTCTGAATGATAAGTGGTAGATGGAGACCATGGAGCCATGGGGTGTAGAGAAAAAAGAATTTAGACAAGGGGGCAGGGAGATAGCATGGCCAGCTGAGGTGGAATTGGGGACCCAAGTGCAAGCTCTAGTCTTTTTCAACTCTGAGAACTCTAGAACAAATAGGAATACATAAGGAGGGTACCCTTGGCACTGTTGGATGTGAGATTCCAAGGAGACCACCCCTGGGTAAACTTCCACCTGCTCAGGATGAACGGAGACCCATAGTACTGTGTTGTGATTTGATTCATTTCCCCCAAACACCACCCAAGTTCTGTGAAACACATTACGCCTTTCAACAGATCTAAAATTTTCACTTTATCACTTCAACTAAACACATTATTTTTTCCCTTGCTTCTTGGGGGCCATCTGCTTTTGGGGAGGCAGATTTTCACAAAATGAAGGGTAAGGGAACACTTAGCAGATCACACCAAGATTTAAGCACAACTGACAATAATGCAGGACTGTCATGCTGGTGCTTAAACTCAGGGCCTGGGTGCTGTTTCTTAGCTATTTTGCTCAAGTCTGGAGCTCTGCCACTTGAGCCACAGCTCTGCTTCCACCTTTTTGGTGCTCTGGTTTGCGAATGCAGGAAAAACGCAAGGGATTCTTATCTCTAACCACCCAAATGCCAGAAGTGGTGCAATGGCACAAGTACTAAGGATAGCACTTAGGCCCTGCGTTCAAGCCTCAGTAGCAGAGCGCATGCACACACACACACACGCACGCACACACACACACACACACACACACACACACACACACACACACGACTCCAACAACTCTTTACTAAAATGACTAAGTTAACTAAAATTTTAAGTGACTAATTATTAAGTAATTTAGAAATGCCCACATGCAAATTAAGCTAATGCTAGGCAAAGGTCTCATCCCTATTGAGGGACCTGAAAATGTATGCATTGTCTCTTAAATACTGGTGGCTTCTGACACATCAAAGCATCTAAGTGTGGGGATAGAGAACCAGTAGGAACTTCACCTTTGCTGGAAACCTAACTGTGTGTGCCTGGATCTAGTGCAATCTTAGTTACAGCCAGAGTTTATTTACAATCCAGAACAAGAGAGTGAAGAGCACCACTATGTTCTGCTCAGGCCTTATGTAGAGCACTACACTCAGTCATGAACCCTATATCTTAAAAGGACATCAACACACCAACACACATTTAGAGAAAGACTGATGGGTTGGTGAAGGATCCAAAAGAAGTGTTACAAGAATGATTAAAAGAAGTAAAGAAGTTTGCTTTGGAAAGGGAAGGCCCAGGCGGGTCTGAGAGCTGTTCTCAAATATTTGAAAGGCTGTCATGTTATAAGATGAATTAGATTTTCTTGGTGCAGCTCCAAAGAGCTGATTCAGCGTCATGGTGGTTAGAAGTTAGCTCGAGACAGATTTGAAGCTCTGTAGGAAGAACTTTCCAACAACTAGTGAGAAGGACAAACCAACAGGAAGGCAGTGAGACTCCTGTTACTGCAGGGATTCCAGATAATAACATAGCCAAAGAGACTCCATACCCTTGGAGCTTTCTGGCTCTTCAGTCTTCCCTTCTATCTTACTGTACTATCCATGAATGCACAGACGTCCCTCTCTTTCCTCCTTCCTCCTCCCTCCCTCTCTTCCTCCCTCCCTCCCTCCCTCCCCCCTTTCTTCCTTCCTCCCTCCCTCCCTCCCTTTCTTCCTTCCTTCCTTCCTTCCTTCCTGCTTTCCCACTTGAGCCACACCTCCACTTCTGGCTTATTGCTGATTAATTGGAGATACAAATCTCATGGATTTGTCTGCTGGGCTGGCTTAGAACCTGGATCCTCAGATCCCAGTCTCCTGAGTAGCTAGGGTTACAGGTGTGAGCCACCAGTGCCTAGATCTTCCCTTCTCTAAGGGGCAACTCACTCTAATCTCATGTGACATTTTCAACTTAGATTCTAGAGCCGATGAGAGAACTCATTTTATTATTTTTTTTATTTTATTTTGCTACACTGGGGGTGAAACCCAAGGTCTCACACAGGCTAGGTAAGCGCTCTACCACAGAGCTACATCCCCAGCCTTGACCTTCTTTTGAATGTCCTTTTTCCAATCAGTTAAATGTTTCCCTGATGACTCTCTGACTTTCTTCTCCTACCTGATTGCCTTCGCTTTGAATTCATTCTTTGGGGGGAAAATGTATCTCAGCATTAAATTGTTTAAGATTTTACATTAGCTATACTACAACTCCCCTGGCATATTTAGAGCCTGACATTTTCCAAAGAGGTCAGAATATTTTCCTCTGAACATTTCAGTGCAACTTAAACAGAACCACATTTCCTTCATTCTGCAAACATTTATTGCATGTCTGCATGTTAAACAGAAATGGAAATGTGTCATACCATCCCAGTCGGAGGTTTTTCTCCACCACCCCACCTCCTGCACCTACTGCCTTTCAGGTTCTGGATTAGGGTTGGAGGGGAACAGGTTATGGAAGATTGAGGATCTCCCCCCAAACACTGCAAACAGATGGGTTGGGGCCCTGAGCACCCTGCAGGGCACAGAGCTGCTGCCATGGGCAACTCTGCCAAGAGCCAGGCTGGGCCACCCTTCCAGGCTTCATAGCCAAGGAGGTGCCATCTGTTGCCTGGAATCCATAGACAGTCTGTTTTCGTGGAAATCTGTCCTCCACCCTGGCCCCTTGGCTTTCTGCAAAGCCCCAGGTGAATGCAGGAGCAGAGGTTCCTGGACTCGCTTGCCTGTCTCCATCATGACCTCCATGTTTGACCTGTTCTCCAGGAAACAGATCTGTCCATCAATCAGCTGTTTCCCTGTCTCCCCCTCCAACCATCTCTTTTCAATGATTTAGGTATGGTCCTCCCTATGATGGCTCCTGCCACCCACTACTTCCTCTAGATGCTCTGTTCCCAGGGCAGAAGCAGGTGCAGTGCCTCTCAAGCTGCTCTCTGGTCCTCTGGTCTCACAGGATGGTATCACAGCTTCCATTACCCCCCATGATCCTGTCACTGGGCCATGGCAGTTGTACCATAGCCTTATACTCATTTTCCCCTTTTATTAGTTGATTCCTTCCCTCACCAGGCGAGCCTTGGGTTGGGTTCTGTTAGGAAGATATGGTTAATGGTGTCAGGAGCAGAGCATTATTGTGGTTTTCATCACTCTGGTTCAACTTTCATCTGACTTCCAGCAGAGGTGGTCCCATCCTTCCAGGCTGTGAAGTGAAACAGATATGGAGGACTGGTTGTGTTTGAAGAGGTGGAAGCAGGTGTAGATGCCAATGCATAATGTCAGAGAGTAGAGAGATAAAGAATGTGTTCCTCCATGTTCCTGGGCTAGTTCAACCTCATGTTATCATCTACCAGCTCTGGGTTGGACACTGGGTTTAGCTTTTCACTATGTGATACAATTCAATGAAACATTTGACACATTGTATAGAATTCCTTTTCCCTGGAGGAGTGTTCCGTTACTTTCTTACCATTATACTACATTTTCCCTCCCCTTTGCTTCCCTTCCCTTCCTTTAGTGCACTTACTAGGGCTTGAATTCAGGGCTTTGTCTCTTGCTCAGCTTTTTCACTCATACCTGGCACTCTACTACTTAAGTCATGCCTACAGTACCAGTTTTTGCTGATTACTTGGAGATAAGAGTCTGGATTTGTCTGCCAAGGCTGGCTCCAAACTTTGATACTCAGATCTCAGCCTCCTGAGTAGCTAAGATTATAGGAGTGAGCCACCTGCACCTGACAGAATTTCTTACTTCAAAAATCCAAGACCTAAGCCAGGCACCAGTGGCTCACACCTGTAACCCTAGCTACTCAGGAGGCTGAGATCTGAGGATCACAGTTCAAAGCCAGTCCGGGCAGGAAAGTATGTGAGACTCTTATCTCCAATAAACCACCAGAAAACTGGAAGTGGCGCTGTGGCTCAAGAGCTGAAGAGCTGAGGGACAGTGCCCAGGCCCAGAGTTCAAGCCCCACCACCGACCCTCCCCCTCCTCCCAAAAAATCCAAGACCATACTACGTCTTCCAAGAAACCAGCCAATTAATTTTTCCTCTGTCCCCTTGATACTTGTGTACTTGCTCAAGGTGAGAGTCTATGTCATATGGAGTATCCTAAGGAGCCAAGATGAGCTCTTCCAACTTCTCAGAGTTTATTGCATCCTGTACTGTTCATAACACTCCCTGCGAGGCATGGAACCACATGAGAATTCAGCATTGCCTGTTGACTTGGATCACAGCAACAGCCATGTTTCCTCCTGCTGCCTTAGGCTTTCAGTCTTGCCTGGGTCTCTTCCCCTTGTGTTGGAATTCTGACTCCGAGAGGGGAAGAGATTTGCTTAGGTTATAACAGATCGTAGCAATGTTGGTCCCATAGTCCCAGCCCTCTGAAAAAGCAAAACCTGGAAAGAAAGACAAATCTTAGCAGAACTGGAGACTGCCAGGGTCCCTGGTCCAGCCTGTCAAGTTTCCCTCCTGACTTCACAGCCTGCCCCTCCCCCTCCTGCCAAGCTGCCAAAGGGTCCATTTAGCTGGCGACAGCGGGTAGATGGGTGGGCGGGCCAGCTCGGAGAGCCCAGGGTAATTGCCTGTAATGAGAGCTCCCACAGCCTTTGTTCCTGGGAGCGATTGTACGGTTGGGGTTGTGCACAGAGGTCTGTGTGCACTTGGAAACTGGTGCCCAGAGACCTCACCCTTCCTTCTGGTTGTTACCACCAAGCCAACCTGGCCTCTTCCCAGCAGTCTCTGGGATCCAGGCTGAGCCTACCACTCCTCTTCTGACCTTCGAGTGCCCTTGAGGTGAGCGACATCACAGAGGCCAGAACAGGCTGTGAGCACCAGGAGTCAGTGACCTCAGACTCACAGGGAGCCCTCCCCTGCATGCATGTGCTGGTCAGAACACACATGCATGTCTGCAGGGTAACGACCATGGCAGGCAGGGATCTGAGGCCTGCAGTTACTGGGGAATCTTGAGGGAATAAGTATGGCCACTGGCACTGGCCGTCATAGTGTCCCGTGAGGCTCCTTCCTGCCCAGTTCTGCACAGAAGGCTGAAGTGGGCCTGTGTTACATATTTGTCTCACCAATAGGGGCCAGCCATTGTTCAAGAGCGGGGCAGGGAGAAATAAGTGTACTCTTTACCTGACTTATGTAACTCTAAGCCTTTGTACATCACCTTTAAAATAACAATGAAGGGCTAGTGGCTCACGCCTATCATCTTAGCTACTCAGGAGGCTGAGATCTGAGGATCATGGTTCAAAGCCAGCCTGAGCAGGAAAGTCTGTGAGACTCTTATCTCCATTTAATCACAGAAAAAACCAGAAGTAGATCTGTGGCTCAAGTGGTAGAGTGTCATCAGTCTTGAGCAAAAGAAGCTCAGGGACAGTGTACAGGCCCAGAGTTCAAGTTCCAGGATCAGTAAAATATCAACAACAACAACAACAACATCCATGAAGAAAGAGTGTATTAGTCAATAGCTAATAGGAGTGGGGAGCCCATAAGGCTTCAGGGCACTTCAGAAGAGAAGAATCCAGAAGGTATGTTGCCGGGTACTGGCTCATGCCTGTAATCCTAGGTACTCATGAAGTTTAAATTCAGGCAGAAAAGTCTGTAAGAATCTTACTTGCTATTAAGCGGAAGTGGAATGTGGCTCAAGTAGTAGAGCACCAGCCTTGAGCTAAAAGCCAATTGAAGACAGCAGGCCCTGGGTTCAATCCCATTACCAGCACAGAGAAAGGAAGGAAAGAAGGAAGGAAGGAAGGAAAAACAAGGTTATAGAGAGCTTTGAGGCCATTTGTGACCACTCCTTCTTGGCTCCACAGGTTGCAGACAGACCAGGACCTGGACCCTCTCCCCCAGGGCAGCTGGGCTCTTGATGGCTACTCCAGGACCCCTGGCAGGATTGAGGGAGGCTTCTACATTGGTAAGTGCCTTGGGGACAGACTTCTTCCTGGATGCGTCACTGTCTGGAACTGTCTTTATTGCTCTCTTCTCTTGGAAGAAGTGCACTGGATCTACAGGTCCTTTTCTTTCTTTCTTTCTTTCTTTCTTTCTTTCTTTCTTTCTTTCTTTCTTTCTTTCTGTCTGTCTGTCTGTCTTTCTCTCTCTCTCTTTCTTTCTCTCTCTTCCTTTCTTTCTTTCTTTTTGGAGAAAGTATGCCATACAGTTCTGTCTGGCCTCAAATTGGCTATGTAGCTCAGGCTGGTCAAACTCAAGATCCTCCTGCCTCAGCCTTCTTAGTGCTGAAGTAACAGTTATGTATCATCACACTCAGCTTGGGTCCATCTTTTTTGACAATTCACCCACCTATGAATTGCACTTGGAATGTTCTCCATGCTTGACTCAACCTAGGTTTGCGCCATTAAATCCAGGAGCTTTCAGGGTGAGGAGTGGAAAGCAATCTCTCTGCTACATGTGTTCAGCTTGTGAGAGCCACTGGGTGTGTCAGGCCAGAACACAGAGGTGACAGTCTGTGAGGGCCAGGTTCAGTATGAAAGTGCTGGGAGCCTGGGAGGCAGTTCAGCCTGCCACCTAGAGAGTTGTTGCCACTGATGGAACCATTTTGAGCAGGCTGTCCCATATGTGTCCCCTTCCTCGTGTCATCTTTGTAGTCATCACATATCACCTGATACACGCAAACTGTTACCTGCCTCAGGGACCTGAGATTGACCAAGAACACTCTTGAAACTTAGGGGTAGAGACACTGCTTGTGTCAGATGCATCCTCTGGCTCTTGGAATGAATGGTTGAGGAGTAAATGAGTGAGCGTCTGTACACCATAGGGCAGGTTCCAAGTAGTCCAGGTTCTGAACTCTCAGCAGCCTGGGCATCATTGTCAGACGCCTGTAATCCTAGCTGCTCGGGAGGCTGAGATTTGAGGAGCTCCATTTGAAGTCAGCTCAGGCAGGAAAGTCTGTGAGACACTTCTTTCCAAGTAACCACCAAAAAGTCTGAAGTGAAGGTGTGGCTCAAGTGGTAGAGCACCAGCCTTGAGTGAAAAAGCTAAGGGGCAGAATCTAGGGATCCTAGCAGCACCAACACCCCCACCAAAAAATAAATGGAAAAACAAAGCCAAAAAAAGCTCTCTCAGCAGCATTTAGGGGTATGTGTTGATTTTTCCCGACACTAAAATAACATCTAGAAGCTGGCAGTAATGTACACCAGAGCCACAGCCAAATGACACCATAGGGAACCAGCTGTCCTTTAGTTACTCAGGCTGAGGGAAACTTTCCCCAGTAAAGCAATGAACTCTGTGGTGTGTGTGTGTGTGTGTGTGTGTGTGTGTGTGTGTGTGTGTGTGTGTGTGTGTGTGTGTTGCTTTTAGAAGGTCCACGATTATTTAGAGGGTTGGTTGTATCTTACGGTTTCATCTCAGCACCCTGCTCCCATGGGAGATGGTGGAGCTTAGAATACAGCCTCACCCTGATACCATGTGGCACGGATGGCAGGCCATTCAGTCTTCTCTGTGTTCTGCTGGGCAGGGATCCAGGTGTCCACACTGGGCTGTTCTCTCTGGAGAGCTCAGGAACAGTGACCTCAAAGCCACTGTGACCCTAGAAAGGAGCAGCTTCACTCACTGCACAGGGCAGGGCTTATAAAGCAGGTTCCTGGAGCAGTGACTGGACATTAAAGAGTAGGCTATCCCCTCGCACAATAAGTACACACGCAGGGGACCAGGACATGGCAAGGGACAAAAGCACACCAAATTTCACTGGCACTGACAAACCATCAGAATTAGAATGTGGTAACCAGGAAACTATGTGCATCTCTATTTTTACATTTGCAGTTTTGTTAACGTAATGGTTTCCTTATGTGTGTGCTCTACATTGTCAGGCTAATGGTCTCCAGCCACCAAACCAGGCACTTGGTCCTAATTATTCTCCTGTGTGCTCCAGAGAAGACTTTTGCTTTTCCACATCTGGTACAGAGAGGTACTAGGAACCGCCATGCTTGTCAGCTGGAAGACCATCTCCACCAGCTAGATGTGAATGTGTCTGACAGATCATAGGTCTGGTGCTCTATGGGGCAGAAAGCCAGTGAACTCTGGAGGTGGGATTCACACAGAATAAATAATAAGCACTGGCTTTTCCAGAGTAGGGTTCATGGAGCTGTCTGCTTTGTTGCTTGCTAGTTGTCATGGTAATCCTTTTTTTTTTTTTTGCTGCAGATACACTGAGCTCTTTGCCTTTAGACAAATGGATGGAAGGATTTGGAATTTGTGTTTTTTGTGCTTTACCACTTGAACCACACCTCCATCCCAGCACTTTGCTGGTTATGTTGGAAATAGAGTCTCTTGGACTTTCCTGCCCAGGCTGGCTTTGAACTGTGATCTTTCAGATCTCTGCCTCTGGAGTAGCTAAGATGATAGGTGTAAGCTACCAGCTCCTAATTAGTCCCTGATTCTTATGGAAGGAGAATTGGGTGCTGTGGAGAGTGCTACCTCATAGTTAGTGTCACCTAACTATATCATTCATAGAATCCTGCACAGTTATTGATCATGTGATTTCCATACCAAGTTTTAAGCCACAGGGTGACAGGGGGCATTGCTTCAAGGTCAAATATCCTCACTTCTAATCCATGACTGCATCCAACCACATGTGGTAAATGAGTGGGTGAGTGATCCATGGTAGGTAAATGTGGGGCTGGTGAATTCTCTGTGAGCCTGGCGTTGCTTTTCTAGCTGAGGAGCAGCTACCAGTCCTTCTCTGCTCTCTTCCCCTTTGGTCTTCTCTGGCCACCAGCCTCCTTGCACGGGGACAGAGCAGGGTCCTGCCTTACAGAGAACAAGAGAAGGCCAAAGAGTTTTCTTACTTCCTCTGTCCAGACCCTGGGAAGCACAGATTACAACTGAGACTTTATAATCTCTATATAGCAGGAAGAGAATTTCTCATGATGCCCCACATCCATGCTGGGGTGTTGAGGATAGCTTTCAAAATGTCCCAGAGATTGTCCACAGCCAGCTGTTCCAACTGCCTCTGCCTGGGGCAGATGTGAAGACATACAGGCCACAGGTGTTGGTGTGCCCTGACCCTCCCCTAGCCCACATGGCTCTTTTGGGGAAAGCCCAGTGCTGAGCCCATCTGCTGTCACCAGCACCAGGCCTCCAGGGCCTTCCTACAAAGGCCACCATCAGATCTTAATTTGGACAGCCAAGAAAGCCAGGGCTGGCACTGCCATGTGCCCACATGTGTGAGGCTGTGTGCAGGAAGGTCGCCTAGAGGTTCACACAGATTACTTTTTTTTCCCCACTTGGTGGCATATTTGAAGGGAGCTAAGTGGACACCACTAGGCAGGAAGTCAGCACCTCTTTTTTTCCCAGTCTCTCTCTGTCTCTGTCTCCTGTCTTTCTCTCTGACTCTCTCTCTCTCTGTCTTATGTTCAGGGTCTTGAACTCAGGGCCTAGGTGCAATTTCTTAGCTTTTTTGCTCAAGGCCAGAGCCTCATCACTTGGGCCATTGCTCTACTCTGGCTTTTTGCTGGTTAGAGATAAGAGTCTAACAGACTTTCCTGCCTAGGGCAGCTTTGAACTGCAATCTTCAGATTGCAGCCTGCTGAGTAGCTAGGATTACAGGCATGAGCCACCAGCATGCCTAGCTAGAGTTGTCATCTTAAGAAAATGTCATATTTAACTGGGTGCTGGTGGCTCATGCCTGTTACCCTAACTACTCAGAAGGCTGAGATTTGAGGATAGTGGTTGGAAGTCAGCCCAGGTGGGAAAGTCTGTGAGACTCTTTATTTCTAATTAATCGCCAAAAAGCTGGAAGTGGAGCTATGGCTCAATGGTAGAGTGCTTGCCTTGAGCACAAAAGCACAGAGAGAGAGCCCAGGCTCTGAATGGAAGCCTCAGGACATTGTGTATGTGTGTGTGTGTGTGCGCACGCGTGTGCATGTTTGCAGACACACAGCTAGAGGGCTGTGCTAGGATTGGGGCCCAGCTTGTCTGAAGGTCATGCTCTTCTCCTGCCCGGCTGCTTCCCCTCTGCTGCCAGGACTTACCACAGTAACTGCACACTGTCCAAGCCCTACTTGTTTTCCCTAAGCCTCTGCCAAGTGGCAGGGAAAGAAACGAGGTCATGGAGCCAGGGTCCTCCCCACATTTCCCTCTACCCTGGCAGGTCCCAAGATGTCACCAGCATCTCTGTCACTCTAGACCTATGTCATTTCATGCTGAATTCACACCGCTGCATTCCCTGTCCTCTGGGGACTCTCTGGCTAAGATGAGCCTGATGTTCCAGCCACCCGTGGAGAGAGGATGCACAGACAATTGACTGGAAGACAGAACAAGTTCAGGATGGAGGGTGTTTGCATGTTCTCAGGCCTGGCACAGGGCAGTGCCACTGTGGGGGCTGAGGCAGCTTCAGAGCACGGCTTCTTTTTTGGATAATCCCAGCATCCATCTGGGACAACGTAAAGATCCAGGAGTTGGGACAAGAGGTCGTGGTGACGCTTGTGGCAGCTGTTAACGCTGATTGTAGCTTTCTGTGAGCCCACACATAAAAAAACAAGCCCATTTAATCCTTCAAACACCTCTGTGAGGGTTGGAATCTAACTCCCTCGCTAGTTTTATAGTGTTGGACTAGTTATTTAATCTCTCTGTGCCTGTTTCCTTGGTTGTAATTGGCGATAATAAGAATAGTTTCCTCCAAGGGTTTTGTGGAGAGTAAATGCACTACTCTGGTTGAAGCACTTACACAGCCTGGTATGTAAACACTGTTTAAGACATGAGCAGTACTGTTCGTTATTGGGAGGAGGGGGGGGTGTTACTCTCCTGTCTACTTTCCTGATAGGAAACTGTGGTACAGAGTGGGTAAGTGACTTGCCCAATGTGGTACAGCCAGGATCTGAATCTGGGCAGCTGTCACCTTCTAAGGTCATGCCGTCAGCCATGTATGCCATGACCTCACTGCGGGGTGGGCATCACAAGTTGGAGGGGGTGGCCCTGGGAGGAAGTGGGAACAGCATAACAGCCCGGCTGGGAAGGAAGAGGCCAGAGAAGTGAGGTCATCTGAGGTACCCTGCTGGAGGGGTTTGAAATAGAAATGAAAAGGATCTGGATTCTGTTGCTGGGGTGGGAGTGGGGGGCGGGGGAGATGGAGTGACTTCTCTTCATGACAGCATTTGGCTGGGAATGTGATAAATCTCCCGGCAGTAACTTGGACCAGGAAGGACACATTTTGATGGCATATTAAGAATGACAGAGGCTGAGGCTAGGTGTCAGTGCTCACACCTGTAATCCTAGCTACTCAGGAGGCTGAGATCTGAGGATCATGGTTCAAAGGTACCCTGGGCAGGAAAGCCCATGAGATACTTATTTCCAATTAACTACCCAAAAGCCCCAAATGGAGCTGTGGCTCAAGTGGTAGAATACTAGTCAAGCAAAAAATATCTCTCTCTCTCTCTCCCTCTCTCCCTCTTTCCCCCCTCCCCCACCCCTCTCTCTCTCTGTCCCCTCCTCCCCTTCCTGCAGTCCTAGGGTTGAACTCAGGCCTGAGGTACTGTCCCTTAGCATTTTCAAACCATCATCCTCAAATCTCAGCCTCTTGAATATCTAGGATTACAGGTATGAGCCACTGGAGTCTAGCTAGCTTCTCCCTATTCTTAAGAGACTATTTCCCCTCCACAGAGGGCCAGACATTGTTCTGCATGGGGATCAGATAGCAGAGAACTTCTGAGCAGACGAGCTCAGGTCCCAATGGAAGCACTGGCAGAGCAGTCCCAGGTCCCCAGGTCCCACCAGCCCAACCCAGGGTGTAGGAGGTGACCCATGAGCTCACCACATCCTTCCTGCTGCAGTACGCCGGGTTTGCATGAGGGCAGGAAAGAGCGCAGGAGTGGCAAGCTCCCAGCAACGAAACCAGACCCGAGGAGCAAACTCCCACACACCACACCAATGAGTATTCTTAGCATTTGCAGAACCATTTTTATATGCCAAGTAATTGCTAGTGATTATTCCATTAAAATTCATTGAAATAAGAATCCATGGCATTCCTCTTAGGTTTAATGCCTCCATTATAAACACTGACAAAAACCCTAATAGAGGTGCCAGTGGAGCAAATCTGTGCCGGCACAGGATGGGGGTGTCTTTCTCTCCAGGCAGTATAGATACTCTAGTTTCTCTAAACCAGCTGTGCTGGCCCCTTCTAGTGATGGCAATCAAAGTTCCTTCTGACTCCTGCAGTTGTCTTTATGTGGACACATGAGCCTCTTAACAGACCTGAAACAGACCTGATTGACATTCTAACAGGTCTCCTAAGACAAATGGCCATCTTCATGATGTTTAGCTGATAGCTGATGGTTGGTTCTATGGACCTCTTTGTGTGTGTGTGTGTGTTCACTTGCGCATGTGCGTGTGTATATGCATGTGCGTGTACTCTGGTACTGAGACTTGAACTCGGGGCTTGGGGCCTGTTCCCTTACTTTTCTTTTCTTTCTTTTTTCTCCAGTCCTAGACCAGAACTCAAACTTGGTACCTGATGTTTTCACTCATTGGCTAGCCCCCTACCAACTGAGCCACACCTCAATTAGCTTTTTTTTTCTTGGCTCACAGCTTGTGTTCTACTACTTCTGACCTTTTGGTGGTTCATTGGAGATAAAAGATCTCACACACTTTCCTGCCAAGACAGGCTTGAAATGCAGTCCTCAGCCCTCAGCGTCCTGAGGAGCCAGGACTGCAGGTGTGAGCAAGCCACTGGACCTCTTAAAACCCAGTTGAGGTTCTCTTTTGGAACAGCATGTCATTACCAGGTGAACAAAACAACCTTAGCTTTGAGCCTTGTATTTTTCCTCATTTGGGGGGTTTACTTGGCCAACAGTGAGTAATAAGTTACAAAAATGGGTTAGCTCTACCATAAGGGAAAATGTTGTGTGAGATTATCTTTTTTCCTTTCTTTTTTGTTGGTTGCAGTACTTGAACTCAGGGCCTGGGCGCTGTCCCTCAGCTCTTCAGCTCAAGGCTAGCGCTCTACCACTTGAGCCACAGCGCCACTTCCCGCTTTTTTCTTTTTGCTTATGTGGTGCTGAGGAATCGAACCCAAGGCCTCATGTATGCGAGGCAAGCACTCTACCACGGAGCCACTTTCCCAGCCCTGTAAGATTATCTTTAGGGTCCCATTTAGCCTTGTGATTCAATTACGTTAAAACAACCAACTGCATGGTAAGGGCAGCTTTGACTGTGGCTTTGCCAGTACCAGAAGATACACATGCTCATCCAAGCAGTTTGTTTGTCTTTATCTAGTACACAGCCCAGTCACATGCACACACTTCCTCCTCTTCCTTCTCCTCACTGGGGACATCCTCCTCATATGCCTGTGGTTGCCATGACAACTAATCTGGGCTGGTCTTGGTTGAAGGGTGATATACCTGGGCAGGGCAGAGCTCATCTGAAGCCCAGTGTACAATGGCCACCACAGCTGTGTGTATGGGACAGTTGCCATGGTAATATATAGAACACACACATGTAAGGAAACATCTGGACTTCTCCTGGGCACTTCCTTGGTCCAAGGAGAAAGGGAATGCGATTTTAAATGAGTACAGTTTCAGACAGAGAGCCCTGGATGAGGTAGTTCCCTTGCTAGAAGGCCTTAAGCAGAAGGTGCAGAGACTCTCCACCTCTGAACCCCACCTGATTTTTCACATGACCAGCTGAGGTGCATAGCATGTAGACATTCTCTTAAAAGCACATAGCATGTCAAGAAGAGACCCTAGGATCCTTAAGACACAATCAGAGCAGTCAGTGGGACCTGGATTTGTGTGACCCCCCAACACCAGAACCAAGATTGTGAGCTGGAGCCATGAAGGGACAGGGGATGCTGTAGACCACTGACCATGTCCAGGGGTAACCATCTGCCTCATCCCCAATCCCAGTCCTGTCTACAGTCCTAGGGCCACCTGACCATCTCAGAGGCAGTGGTGTGGGGTTTATAGACCATCTTCTCCTTGGTACTTCCCTTCAGGAAGTAGTCCTCCCCTTATGGCTATACTTTCCTGGTTTGGGGTCTCCACTTGGTTTCATATGCAGTTATTAAACATGTCCCTGAAACAAGTGCATGGTGATAGCATGAAGATACAGGAAGATATGGGAATTGAACAGACTTGTATTCCAATTCTGAATCAACCTGCAGCCTCCTGTGTGATACTGGCCAGATACCTTTCTCCATAAATGAAGAGAATGACAATCTCTGCTCCGCAGGACTCTCTGAAGCAGTATACATGGTGTGTCTAAGAGGGTCTCTGGCAATGGCAGGTGCTCAGCACTTGTAGAATTTTCTGGCCTCGATCTGGTCATCAGTGTGCCCTTGAGAATTATCCTAGGCAGGAAAATGATGAGCTACTTGGTGAGAGAAGGTATATCCCTGGGATGTACATAGGCAGAATATTCGCATGTGGCCCTAACCATAGCAGGTGGCTAGTAAGGTGAGGAGCAATGTGGAATGGTGCGGTCAGGGAGGACTTTCTGCAGGAAGACCCCAGAAGCTGGCCCTGAGTAGACTTGAATTTATCTGAAAGAAAGATTTTTAGGAAAAAGGCTAGGCAGAGCAAAAGTATAGGTAGGACCAGTTTTGAACCAGGCACAGGTAGGAAAGCATTAGAAAGGAAGAGTTTTTTGGGGGGAAGGGGGGAAATGGGGGTAGCCAGGCTAGTGAAGGGATTGAGTACAATTTGGTACTCAGCTCTGGTCTCTATGGAAACCAGATACCAGAGGTGGGAGACACTCCAGCTCACTGAGTCAGAGATACACTCTTCTGAGGCACATCCTGGTGTGGTGGCATTAAAAGTAATGGAGGAGCCAGGTGCTGGGGGCTCATGCTGTAATCCTAGCCATTCAGGAGGCTGAGATCTGAGGATCACAGTTCAAAGCCAGCCCAGGTAGAAAGCCTGTGAGACTCTTATCTCCAATTAACCATGAGAGAACCAGAAGTGAAGCTGTGATTCAAAGAAAGAGAGTACTAGCCTTGAGCAAAAGAGCTGAGGGACAGCGCCCAGGCCCTGAATTCAAGCCCCTCAACAGACCCTCCCCACCCCATAAAAAAAGGTTGAAGGAGGTGAGGGTTGGGTTTCTGGGGATTCTGGAGACTCGGGGTCCTATTCCTCCTTGGGAGAGGAAAAAGGATCCGGGAGTGTAAATTACACTCCCAGGGCTGCTCTGAGAACCTGGTTCCTGAGGACAAGAAGCTCCCTCCCTGTTCCAGCCTAGGGCTTAGAACACTTGGCCAGTACAGTGAACAACTGCCTAGCCCTGAGCCAGACCTCATATTCCAATAGCTTCCACACCCTGATGTTCCAGCGCTGGGACCATTAAGGGACCTCTGGGGAAAGAGAAGGCCAGTCCTATGGGCTGCAGCTCCTGTCCCCACCAAGTTTCTCCTCCCTTCAGGGCTCCACAGCCCCCTGCCTATGAAGGAAGGTTTATGGTCCCTTGGGAAGCCAGGACTCCCAGGACTCAGGCACTGGTCCTGACTCCTAGTCAGTGATCAGAAATGACTCCT